CAAACCATGGCGAGCCCCGCTCGCCAGCCGCGCTGTCTGGCGATCTGCGCATGCACAGATCGTTCTGCACATGTGCAGATCGCCGGAACCTGGCTCTTCTGGGTTACAATCTACTCGCCACGGGCGAGTAGATTGTACAATTTGTCGAGCCCTGCCGATAAGCATAAGCTTATCAAATAGTCTACTAGTTGCTTCCCCTCCCCCTTGCAGCCTCTATCAGAGAGATGCAGCGAAGTGCTGGAGCAGGAGCTAGTGCTTGGGGGAGCCAGCTTAAAAGCTGGTTTTCCCCCCAGCACCGTCTCTGCAGGCGGGCAGAGGAAGCAGGGGGGTAGTGAGGACCCAGTGCGAGCTGGGAATCAGCGGACTCTGTGACTCTGCTTTTTAAATGTATTAGGAGCATGTCAGCTCTTAATACGTTTAAAAGGCTGGTCTCAGTGAGGGGGACCCAATGTGAGCCGGGAAGGTCCTCCCTGGTGTGCTTCAGCCTTTTAAATGTATTAAGAGCTTGTTGGCTCTTAATACATTTAAAAGGCAGAGCTGCAGCGTGGTTAGCTCCCGGGGCTCCCCCGCTTATCGACTAATCAACGGAAATTCCATTGACTAGTCGATTAGTTGATTAAATTTAACATCTCTACTTTGAATCATTGTAAGTTTATCATTTAGAATAATCTCCTGGTAAATATGTATGAAATGCCTCTCTTTAATGCATACTTTAGAGTCTATGAAAGAGAAGAATCTAGCCAAGTCTCTAATTTAGCTTTTTAAAACAAGTCTGAAGGGAGGAACTCTTACGTTATTTTGCTTTATTGATTCATTTAAAATTTTATCTAGAAATGTTGAACCAAGGATTACTGTATGTAATAGCTTTGAACTTTTGAAGGTTAAAGTTATTTTAGAAACATTGGTGCTATGCAGGAGTGTTGAGAGGCTTTCAATTATTTTAAACTTCTGTCCTGCAGAGCCAAGATTTTCTGTCCCAGTAAAGTGAGATTCAAAGGAGGAAGGAGCCAAGAAACTCAGACACCTTATAAGGAGATGAAGAGTATAGTTATGTGTAAAATCATATCTGTGTCTCCCAATTCACTCTGAAAACACATTGTCCAAGTATTTTAGAGTCTCGTGATTTTTTGGAAACTCATAGTACAAATCTCTAGGATAAAATCAATAAAGTGAAAATAGAGGAAGTAGTGCGCTTGTATTTAACTCAGGATTACTCTTCTATTTTGTTGGGTACGAAGAGGGCTGTCAGACTGTTTTGTCTATTTGCATCACTATACCTTGTCAGTGCCCATTTTTGTAGCAGCTGATGCTAAAGAAAGGAGGAGGGATTGGAATAAAATGAGGCAAAGGGAAAATCGAGTTGCATCTCTCATGGCTGCAGAGGATGAACTGAGGCAATAAGTGGCTGGCAGTATAAGAGGGTCATGCACTCTCTGTACAGTGGTGTTCGGGGCAGGGGAAGGTGAGACTGAGCCTCAAAGTGAGGTTAAGGGGCACTTTGTAAGGGCCTACGGAGGTTTGAGGAGGCTGTCTGCTTAGCCTTCTTCCCACCAACTTGGGCTGTGCGCTGAGCAGAGAGTTCCTCTGAAAACAGGATTGCAGTCTGAGGGGAAGTGCTGCATAGTCACTCAATGTGAGGCTCCTAGATAGGAGTAAATTGCCTGTAATGAACTCCTTGCCTAACCCTAGTTTATTCAGTTCACATCCGAATTTGTCACAAATGCTCCCTGATTTTGGACTCCCAACTTGAGACCTAATATCTGATATTCCAGGGTTCTGTTTGCTTTGGTAGTTTCCAAACACTTTTGTAGAATTAGTTAGCTCGAGCGTCACCTCAGCATAGGATCTCCTCCCTCTGATCATGTGACTTTTCTGAAAGCTTGAAACACCAAGCCTAAAACTGTAGTTTCACCTTAATTAAAACTTTGTCTTGTGTGGATTGTACAGTCTGAGAATATGTGCTTACAACCTCAGTAAAGATTTTTTTGGCTTCCCAATGAAGTTTGAGTGAGTGTTATTGTTAAAACAACTAGGGTAGGTTCTTTCCTGCCTTGAAGTAGAAAACAGATTAATTTTTAAGCCCTCTTAAAAAGATCCTGTGCTTTTGCCAACAACTTGTGGGTCAACTTGAGCCTGATGGAATTTGAGCAGCTCTTACAAAGACTGTACACAATATCGGTTTGAAGTACGCACAGTGGGACTGGTTGACCCAGACCCGGAGCGTTCTTGACTTATCACTGCGCTTGCCGTTCAAGTGCTGGCAAATTGGCACTGGCTCCCTTCTGAGGCTGAGGCAGATCCAGGAAGCATCAGAAATTGTGTTGCTGCTTATTAGAACTTATGTTTTCTTTTGATTTAAAAATATGTTCTGTAAAGAGCATGAAATATGGAGATGGTTTGAAGGGAGAAAGGCGGGTCAGGCTCTTTTGTCCAATTCAAAATGCGTGTGGTTCTTTAAGTGTTCATTCCTGAATACTTTTAACTGAGTCTTCTGTTCCAATGCACTTGGACACGTGTTTGGGTAACACTTAAATTTAGTCACAACCTATGTAAGGGTGGAAGATTCCCCAGGATTCTCAGAAACCTAAAAGTTAGACTCAAAGAACACTGATTTGTTTTTAAAAATGTAGAAATGTTTTGTAAAATTGCCAGCTTTGTTACTGTCCTCTTCTCTGCTCCCGGCTTGAACCTTCCTTCCCTTATATGCCTTTCCTGACTCTCAGGGAATTTCTCCCTTTCCTCTTTAATTGGAGTGTGGCTGATTTATTCTACAGGGCTTAAATTAAAAGGAAACTCAGCGGTAGGGGAAGAACCAGTGAGGTTGAAAGCAATTGTCAGACTCTTCAGCGCAGGCTTGCTGAGCCCCATTTTTTAGCTTTCTTTCAAAGTGGTTTGATACGGAATAGCAGCAGGGGCGCCTCGTTACTGCCAATTGTAGTTAATGTGGTAGATGTCCGGCTGTCACTGGTAGAAGGGCCGTGAGTGTGAGGCTGCAGCGTAGCTTGTAATAAGGATCTCTCCCCTCTCCCATGAAGAAGATTGGTTGCCCTGGGCAACATTAGTAGGAGTAGTAACACTGATGCTGCCCAGTAAAATTTAGAGAATTAAAATCTGCTGAGCAGCTGAATTGGCACATCTAGCAATCCTAGGAAAATTTAAGTGTTTCCTCCCCCTCTCCATCTCTTGGAAAGTAGACTTTCTTCTCTCTGTCTAAGGCAATAAGATGAGTTAAAACATGAAGCAAGTCTTGGCCAGGATTTTCTGAAAAATCTCTGCCAGGATAAAGCCAGTTTGTCTCTAGCCATGAGAATTCTTATTACCGCGTGGAATCGTTTTCACTGCAGATGCAGGGAGACGGTATCAACACGTCAATGGCATTATCTCCTTTAGAGTCTCAGTTAAAAATAAGCCGAGTGGCAATTTAATTCACTAAGTGCATATTATTATCTACATGCCTCTAAGGTTGCTGAGGAAAGTAAAATGTCTGAGTTTGAAAAATGAACTAATTTTGGGCCTGATAAATGCAGTGGTTTGTTAGCCCTGAGTTTGGTCAGTAAGAGACAGCTCTGCCTTTTAAAGAGCTAAGGAGTTTTATTTCTAGGGCAGTAAACTGGAGTGATCTTAATCTGCTTTACAGTCCATGGGAGAGAAACTGGCCACAGGTTATCATATAGTACCAAAGGGGTGCTCCCAGCTAGAGTAAATGTTTAGGCTTTTTTATGACTTATGAAGGAGACGCTAAAGATTTTTTTCAGGGTTTCTCTGACTTGCCCCTTGGGTACATTGGAGCCAGTGGGTTCCCTCCACCAACTGGCCTGTCATATAGGATAATGCTTCTTCTCCCTGTCTCAATTTATCTATATCCTAAAAACATGAGGGTGTTGAAATCCTACAATGGGAAGTGGGTTGGTTTAGGTATCCCTGAAGGAGCCGCAGTCCTCTTCCCCTGCTAATCCAACAAAAGCTCGTCTGCCTTTATGACTGCAGGAGTACCTTTTTCCCCAACAGATTTTTTCTTTTTTACCTTTTTTCTTTCTACTTACACTTCATAAAAGCTGGAAGGTTGAACTGAAGAACTAGTAAATTAACAGCACCCCAAGAGCCTAGATGGTGACTGTTTTAAGATTAAGGCGTTCCTTTAAACTCTTGCACCTGTTTATCTTCAAGGTCTAAACATTTGCTAACCATTAAATATCTTTGTCTTTTCAATTAAGATGCCAGATTTTAAACATCCTAGAGACATCTCAGATTCTCCAGGAAGATTGAGTTTGTTGTTCCTGATATTTCTGATCTTAAAAACAGGCAAACATTTTCAGGTGCCTTTTTACATCACAAAAGATAAAGGCATAAAGTCATTGTAAATGTTTGGGTTTTTTTGGAAGGGCTGGAGGGGGGGGGATCAAATTTAGTGAAAAATAGCTTGGAAGAAGATGCATAATTGTGATTAGCAGAAAATTTGACACATTCTTTTTTGAGGTGGCATTGTCTAGATTGTTTCCATAGCAATGGAAAAGACATTCTTAAGGAGGAATTTACCCTTTTTATTCACTGATATGCAGATTACAGGCCTGATCTCTTTAAAGTCTTGAGCATTCTCAATTGTAAAAGATATCCACGGGAGTTGTGGGGTACTCCACACATCTGAAAATCAGGCCTTGCATTTCTGACTCCAGTCTTTCAAGTTAACTGTACTTACTTGGTTCAGTTGTGGGATTTTAGGGGGGGCCTTAGAAAGTGAAAATGGAAATCAAAGGCACTTATGTTGCACAGCACAGACACTTCTTGGAGACAGGGCTACTTGTCTTTCAGCTCAGCTCTGAGATACAATTTAATGATGACAAGCACTAGATTTGAAGTTGTTATAATTTTTATAATAATCATGGTTGACCTGATCTTAAAATAAACCTAGCATAATCAAAACTATAGTAAATGACTTACAGAGATTTAAAAAAGAAAAAAAAGTGTTAATCCATTCTAATAATGCTTGTTTTGGATTGTAGGACAGAAAATTGACAAAAATAGAAAGACAAAGATTTAAGGAGGAAGCAGAAATGTTGAAAGGTCTTCAGCATCCAAATATTGTTAGATTTTACGACTTTTGGGAATCCTGTGTAAAAGGAAAAAAATGTATTGTATTGGTTACTGAATTGATGACCTCTGGAACGCTAAAAACGTGAGTACTATACTCCTGGTGACATATCTAAGAATAGTTGCCAACATTCTTGGGGAAACACAGCTATAGGTAGTTAGAAGAAAAGGCATTTGAAGACCAGAAGCTGATTGGTTCTCTCCCTTCAGTCATTTGTCCCTGTGTTTGCACTCTGTTGATTTGAAAACAGAATTTCAGCACCTTTTTGTTTTTTCCCTCCTGATCTGCTGTTTCAGTTATGTAACTATCAGCAGTTCTCGCCTTTGTTTTCCAATATGCACATGAAGCTCTGCTTGAATATGTCAGGTTGCAGTTTGTTTTGGTTTGATTTTTTGGGGGGTGGGGGTTGGTATTTGTGGTTTGTATTATGAAACTGCAATAAAAGAGCTCTTTAGCTGGAATTTCATTTTTTGAAGCAAGAGCTGCTCCAGGTTATCTCATAAACAGCACTAATTAATAGCTTATGGTACTGACACTTGTTCAGTTGGCTATAAAGCAGTTGGCACAAACTTCAGAACAGATTTTCATCCCTGATGGGAGTAATACACATCACTGCACATCTCCAACGTGCCACTCTGCAAGCACAAGTAGGTTTTACGTTCCACCTGAACATACCTTCCATATCTAAAGTAAAGACCTGTGTTTCAAACGAATGCTAAAAATGCAGGTCTGCGGTACAAAGGAGATTTCCATATTGTACTGATCTGCATACTTAAAACACGTTCTAGCATAGAACTCTGCATAAAATAAATTGCTTTACTATTATACTTTCATACACCTAAATTTTGGTGGTATTTGTACCTGGGAAGCTTAATACAATAATTAACTTATTTCCAAAAAATTAAATGTCTTGGTTCCTCCTTTAGAGAGCACAATTTCCTTTTACCACGGTGCTGGTTTTGAACTGCTGTTGGTATCTGAGGTGAATTTTTATTCAAAACAAGTGCACAATTTTGTCCATTGTAAAACCTTTAGAGTTTTAGAGAATGCTTTCTTTTTCTTTATACCTACTGCTGTGTGTGTGTTTTTGCTGCAGGTATCTGAAAAGATTCAAAGTGATGAAACCAAAAGTTCTTCGTAGCTGGTGCCGACAAATCCTGAAAGGTCTACTTTTCTTGCACACAAGAACACCACCAATCATTCACAGAGACCTAAAATGCGACAATATTTTTATTACGGGACCGACTGGGTCTGTGAAAATAGGAGACTTAGGTCTGGCAACCCTCAAAAGAGCTTCATTTGCCAAAAGTGTAATAGGTAAGTTCTGTTCTGCATTTCTGCCCTTCTTGTCCTGATTTGGTGGTGGTGTGTTCTTATTTGCACTGTTTGTTTGTATGATTTTAGTTTATGTAACCCACATATCTTCTGGGCATGGTTCACTCTCCTAAGCAGTAGCACTTAGACCACTTACAGAGGGCGAGAGAGAAAATAAGTCTCCTCTACAGCCTTAGTTGAGAGCCAGCTGGCTTTATAGCTCAAGCTGTAGGGGCTTATGGGCAAAGCTCCAGAGGTCCCAGGTTTGGTTCCACCCATCAACATGACATTCATACCAGGGGTGGACAAGATATGACCTACAGACTGAATCTGGCCTCAGGCACAGAGCAGCTCCTACCACTTTGAGGAGGAGGCTTTGCATGCTATCCCCCCAGCAAAATCTATCAGCTCCTGCTGGTTAGAAACTGGTCAATGGGAGTTAAGAAATTTTGCTGGGGAGGGGACAGTATGTGAAGCCTCTCTTCCTGCCCCTCTCCTTCCACGCCTGGAGAAGAGAGCCTCAGCCAGCCATTGTGAGCAGCCTGGGACTGTGCCTCTGGGGTCCTGTAGGGCTGCTGTTTGGGAGCCATTAAGGTAAGTGCCTCCCGGCTAGAGCCTACCTCTTTTGCTACCACCCCCTCTTTTTCCAGGTCATCACCCAAATCCTGTGCACCCTCTCTCCCCCAGGTCACAAGTGAAACAGAGATCTGTAAAAACAGTAAGTTCTCTTGGTTTGAAACTTTCACACTATATGTGTGTCACCGGCTCAAAAGAGTAGAACGCCTAGAGCACATAAACACGTGACTTCAGATATATGCATGCTTCAAAGACCTTGCAAATCAGGTCTTCATCCTACAAAATACCTAGTGCTTGTTACTTCTGAGTATGCCCATTGACTCGTAAGAGCCAGAACTATACCAGATAGCAAAGATCTGGTCTTAATGCCAGTACCCTTCCCCAAACGTATTCTAAAACTTAGTGGAAATCACTTGTCTAGAATCCATCTTTAATTGAAAGGCCAAATACATAAGCAGGATCCATGGTAAAGTTCTTCCAGTTTTAACAATTTACCATGTATTAGTTAGTAACACAGGATTTTTAAAAAGTCATTAAGATCAGAGTTTTCAGAAATCTACAAGATTCCAAAAATTCTGTCAGTGGCTTACGGCCAAAAAGAAAAAGGTGTTAAAAAAGAACCCGTGTAAATTTTGTTTGAAATGTAAACATGTAGCAGGGTACTACATTATTCTTTCCCCTGCATCATAACTTTCCTGGCATATTTTAGATCTTGTAACTAATGCCAACTCCTCACTCCAGCCTCAACAAGAGAAGGGAAGATCTTTTGGACTAAGCTCCCTGTGATGCATTAATGAGACAACGGAGTTTCTTCAGCAGCACCTCATTTCCCTTTAGCCACATGCCCCCCCATGCCCAGCATACCAGCATCACCCACCTGAAATTTTGGCACCCTCCCCCCATGCAGCCTGCTTCCCCCGACCCTCAGTCCAAGAGAGAGTCCTGTGTTCCTCCCCTGCACAGGCAGCTGCAGCCCAGGTAGAGCTGCTGTGCTGAGACAGAGGGTCTGACTCTTGCAGCTCAGATGGGAGTCAGGACACCCCAAACAAACTCCCCACCTCCCCAGCACCTTCCCACCCCATCTTTCCCCACCTACCCTGTGCAGTCTGCTCTCCCCAAGCCTAGCCCAGCCTTGGGCTTGGGTAGAATCCTGCCTCTTGAGTTGCAGGCAGCAGCAGCTGCAACCCTGCTGAGAGTCAGGAGGACACACCACAAACTCACTCCTTACCCCCACCTCGCCAACGCCAGCACCCTTCTCCCCTCCTATTTTCCCACCTACTCCATCCAGTCTACTCAGTGCGTATCTGCATCCACAGATACAGGCACCAATTTTGTATCTGTGTCGGGCTCTACTTACTCCAACATGAAAGGGCTTTTACTGATATAGTTGGTACCTTTTTTCCAGCAAAAGCACTTTTATGGTGGGATGATCATGTCTACCTTGAGCTTTCTACAGGTATAAAACAGTTATTTTAAAAAAAACAAACCCATAGCTATGCTGGCAAATGTTTTTAATGTAGGTCTGGCCTGAGACGCCAATAACGCCAAATCCCAGAAAAGAAGTGAGTTTGACTAGTACCCCAGAGTTCTTGTCTTGATGAAGACTAGAGAATGACATGGGCCATTAGGAGTCCTTCAGAAACCACAATAATTACCAGTACTTCTCTTTTGCTCATAGGTTAAGGTATCTAGAGAAAACAAAGATTCCTTATTGTTTCATTGGTATCCTAGCTGGTAGATATTACTCTTTCTTTCTTTTTTTTTTTAAGATCTTTGAGCCTATCTAGGTATTTTTCATCTTAAGCACTGCCTTATTCACTCCTCTTGCATCTTCTCTGGCATTTATTTGTTAAGAAAATGATACTGTATTATAGACTCCTACAGCCCAAGTATAAATTATTCCATGACTAGATGCAGTTCCTTGAATAAGTTGTTTGAAGCAAGCCTCAGTGCTAAAGGTATCAATCAGTTCAGCTCTGTTGACTTCACTGTTCAAAATAATTGTTATTTGGGGGCTCTTTGACAAGAGTTAGACAACTGCTGTGACTATTTCCAAGTCTTGATGCTAAGCCTGGGAGTTACTCAGCTAGCACTGATGTCATTACTACCTCTCTTTGTTCTTGATCTGCTGTATAGAAAAGGGAACTTTTGAAGGGATTCTAATGAGCAGTTTGTAATAAAGCTGCTAGTTTCAGTTATGAAAGAGTAAGAAGAGCTTTATATTTGGTTGATCACAGTAGATCAAGTTTCTGCCATCCTAATCTCCACTGAGAATGACCTTCCTCTAGTTCTGTTGGTTTCACTGCAGTGGTGGTAACATCAGGCATAATGCTAGTGTTCTTCTTGCACATTCTTCATATAAGAACTTGGACTACTGCACATCTCACCAAAAGTTCAACTTGCTAAGTAATTACTGTTTGTTTTGCTGGAAACGAACTGTGAACAGTTTAAACCAGATGTAAAATTTCTTATGTCTTTCCCTTGTCTCTCCCTCGGTCCCCATAATCAATCATTATGTAACTTTCAATTTATGTCCAAGCTCTACACACTGTGTTTCACTTCAGGATTTGCTATTTACTTCTGGAATTCTCTGCATTTCTCACATCATTAGTGGTGAGGGCAGAGTCAGTTATGTTAGGGGTATTTTTTGTTGCAGGGAGGAGTTTTAGTTAACTTTGTTGTTTTAAAATAACCATGCATTTACCTTGCCACAGCTGAAACAGGTATGTTTTTATAGACCAAGAAGAAACTTTACTGAAACATGTTTAGTGTTTGTGTCTAACTTAAATTCTTCTTTTTGTATCTAGGCACTCCAGAATTTATGGCCCCAGAAATGTATGAAGAACACTATGATGAATCAGTTGACGTATATGCTTTTGGAATGTGCATGTTGGAAATGGCTACCTCAGAATACCCCTACTCAGAATGCCAGAATGCTGCTCAGATTTACCGGAAAGTGACCTGTGTAAGTGAGCTTTACTAGGTGCATGTACATTTTTATTCTGAGTTTTTTAAAGACTGGATCTTTCAATCTGAAGCCAGTTAAAGTACTCTCCTAATCTTTTAAACACTATGCTGTTTTGGACTCATCGTGTTGTGGCGGAATACTGACAGGGTAAAATTACACATCTCTTCTTTGGGGAGGCAGAAGATACTTTCAGGATTATTTGGAATGTCTAAAATTGCATTATTGTTACCTAGCATTTGATTTTAATATGGCTGCATAAGATGAATTTTAATAATCTCTCTGTGCTCTTGGGTGACTCTTATTGATTTTTGCCTACAGCAGTCAGAGTAGATGAGAATGGGGGAGTGCTGTATTTCCAAATGGGGACCACCCAGTTTAACCGGACTTCCCAGAGTTCCAGAATTGTTCCACATTCTAGGTTGGAAGAACACGGTAATTCCCACATTGCAGCCTCTAAATACTCTCTTAATCTTCCTACATTGTGGCAAAGAATATAATCTGGTTCAGCCTCTTGCCTTATAACAGCCTCTGTCACTGCTCGTCTGTGTAACACGTTGTCTGAAGGTCACTTAGAGGAAGGAGTCCGTGATTAATAGTGTTATAAGTGTCTCTGGGACTCTATAGTGAGTCTCCAGGCATATCACTGGGGACTGTCTCAACTGACTTGATTAGAGGAGAAGAGATCTGAAAGGGAGCCAGGAGCGATCGCTTATACCACTGTATATGATCCTGTACTGGAGATCAAATCCCATGTGTCCTTGTCTATGTGAGTTGACCTGGAAAGTACCTAGAAAAGCTCTGTGACTTTAACGGAGACCTCTAGATCTCTAATTAGTGGAAAATCAAACCTATGTGGAAATGGAAGTTGCCACTTGTACCAGTTCTATCCTGGCATGTTACCGTTAGAGGAAACCACTAATATGGTGGTTTCTACAGATTGTTGGTTGCACTGTTGTAGCTGAATTGACGCCAAAATATTAGAGACACAAGGTGGGTGAAGTCAAATCTGTTATTGGACCTGTTTCTGATGGGAGGAGAGAAGCTTTCAAGTACATAGTTCCTCTGGAGCAGTCTGTATAAACTCCAAAGCTTGTCTCTTTCACCCACAGAAACTGGTCCAATAAAAGAGATCACTTCACTCTCCGTGACTTTTTCCATAATGGAACACATTGGCAGTGAAATACACCCAGCCTTTCTGGCCAGATTACTCCCCCTGGGAAAAGATGAGTTGGGGTCTCTCTCCCTGAGACAGGTGGTTCACCTGGGTTTAAGGAAGGTGAGAATGGTTGCATACCTTCTCTCAAGAATGGGCTGGGAGGAAAAAGCAGCTATGCTGAGAGAGAAGGCTCGAACTGAGCCATGGACAGTGTTGCTTTTTATTTCTAAAGCTGTCTCCAAGTAAGGTGGTGAATATCTACATGGTATGTGGACTGAACCGATTGCTTCTACAGTCTGAAAGCAAGGTCCCAAAAGCACAAGCTAGTCTCTTTCCACTTTCTTCTGATGAACGCTATATGCTGCCGGTCAGAGCTGAATCAGTATTGTGGCAGTTCATCCATTTGGCCAAGTCTTGGTTATGCATTTGGGGTCAGCAGCCTCATCCAAGAGGCGGTGGATGACATGGGTTTCGGTACAGTCCCTTGAATGTGATGGCCACTGCCAAGAAAGCTGAACACCGAAATGGCAAATCAGGAGATGCTAAAACCCAAATTGCTCCACTTCTCTTAATCCCTGCCAGAGCAAAGGAAGCCTTCATCTGGTACCCAGCTATGTACTCTTGCTTGATGAAACTATAGTGTTTGTATAGACCTTCACAATTTAATATAATATTGTCCAGTAACATAGAGCTATTCTCCTGCCATTGCTGTCAGAGTGGCAGGCAAAGAGCCAGGTAGTCCTGCTTGTTTTTATAGACCAGTTTCTGCTCTGCTGGGCTTGATGGTAACCCCAGGAGAAGAATGGAGGAGCCAGAATTCCCTAGTTGAAAAGGAGGCACTGTTGTCAAAGTAAGCAAAAGGAGTTTGGAGCTGTGTGAGACACTATGCTCACTGGACAAGGCCACAACTGAATAATGAAGTAGTTCTTGCTCCTGTGTGAACAGTAACCCTTATTGCAAGTTGCCATTTATAACTTAGTGTAAAAAACCAAGCAGGTCTACCTGGCTCTTTGCCTGCCGGTCTGACAGCAATGGCAAGGGAATAGTTAGTGACGGGTGCTCTGTTACGGGACAATATAAGATGAATTTTGCTCCTTGAAGTGGCCTCACTGGGACAGAATGGCTACGTCTACACTGGCCCCTTTTCCGAAAGGGGCATGTTAATTTCACAGGTCGTAATAGGGAAATCTGCGGGGGATTAAAATATCCCCCGCGGCATTTAAATAAAAATGTCCGCCGCTTTTTTCCGGCTTTTAGAAAAGCCGGAAAAGAGCGTCTACACTGGCCCCGATCCTCCGGGGAAAAAAGCCCTTTTCCGGAGGATCTTATTCCTACTTCAAAGTAGGATAGATTTCCCTATTACGACCTGTGAAATTAACATGCCCCTTTCGGAAAAGGGGCCAGTGTAGACGAGCCCAATGTGTCTGTAAACTTCTTTGATGAAGAATAAATGGTGTAAATGTGGTTTGTTCCTGAACACTACTAAATATTTCAGCTTAGAACTGACATGGGTTCAACAATGCTGAATACAGATATTTACGTTGGATTTGTACGAAACATTGGCTTGCAGGGCAGGGATCGCTTTTTGTGTTCTGTGTTTGTGCAGTACCTTGCATGGTCAGACCCTAGTCTATGACACTATGCTCATACAAATAAAGAATAATAAGAAAATCAATGCACCAGAGATAGAACTGCTTTTCTGTGTCCTTTAAATTAGAAGAGTATGCCAATAATGATCTAGCCTTAGTGTAACACAGTGCCTATGAGAGTAACACGTTGGTCATGCTATTCTCAATTCCTTATTCATATTTCTCTCCTCTTCAACCAGATGTTCAACTCCTAACAGCAAAACAATATTGTGCCCCGGTGTACCCCGCTGTAACCTAGTCTCTGGCCGGTAACTCCGGTTCTCCGCCGGACTTTTAGGTGATTCACCTTTTTTCTTTGGCGTGGTTGTAGTCCCCCCCAACCGCGGGGTGGGGGAAAGGGGGGCCCGGGCCCGCCCTCACTCACGGGCCCCAGCCCAGGGCCCTAAGGACACGGAACTACCTCGCTCCGGTCCGGCTGACGGGGCTCCTGCCGTAACTCGTCAGCCCACCAGCCCTAATGGGCTCTGCCCTGGGCTGCTTCCTTTCCCCACCCCCGGCGTTCCCCGCTCGGGGTGTTTACCTTATACCTGGCTGACAGGCTGCCGGCCCTACCGCGACCCTCGCCTAGGTGGGGTTGCGTGCTAGTGGTCCGTGATTGGGGCTGCCGCCCCGATCTCCCCCTCCCACGGCTCCGTGCTCAGCCCCTCTGCCCTCTCGTCTCCCTTTGGTCATGGCGGCGGCGCTTTTAAACGTCCCCCCGCAGCCGTCCCCCCCGCCACCCCCGGGCCGGGCGG